AGATATAAATTATAGAAATAATAAAGAAAATAGAAGATGGACCAATTGTTGGAATAAACGAACATTAGACATATCATACTTCCGCATTCTCTTTTATTGAGGGACATGATAAGAGGTGTTTTTCACAGTAGTAGGTAGGTACATAGGTCATTCATCGAGGAGCATCTGACATATAATAAAACACCTGAAGTATTTCCAAACTAATAAGTATTTTTTTTATTTAAAACTGCTATGGGCTAATAACAACTGTATCATAAACACAGGTGACTAAATATATGAACATAAGATCCAGTATTGTGGGTAAGATATATGTTTTACTAAGAATTTGAACTATGTTTCATTCAAAAAAACTGTACACCGATAACTTTAAGTGTTAATAACAGAGAACAACATCAATTTTTACGAAGCATTTTAAAAGACTAAGCAACATTTATTTGTATTGGTTGCTTTAATCTTTTCATTGATGTTCAAGACTGAAATCAGTCAGTCTCTTTTTGGCATATGTGAAACCTATACGAAATTGCTTCGATAGATGGTGGTTAGCAGTATAATCTATGACACGCGTTTCGTCTTATTTGAGATTCGTCATCTGGATGTACCTGCAACTCAGAGTTGATGACCACTCTAGGACTCTAAACCCGTACAGTTCGTTTGAAACGCCATCGCGTTATCTACTTAGTTAGTGGCTTGCGCAATGCTGCGAAATTTAATTCTCTTGTATTAGTTGTTAAGGAACAGTAATTTAGTGGTTATTAGAATAAAGCATACATCAGTTTAAATGACGAGAAATAAAACAAAATCATTTACATACCTCCAAAAATCCCCCATACGGTAATACTTGGAAGGAACACTCATTGTGGTTAGATCACTGGGATTACGAACAGCTTGAAAATCACCACAGCATAAAACTAGGTCAGTTTTAAATTGACCCTGTTGTTCGGCTTCTGCAATGTCGGCGTACACACAGTCTAACTCTCCATGTAAACAACCTACCACGCATACTTTTACCATAATTTGACTAAGTGTAATCAAATATATCGCAGGTTAAGGAAAGACTTAAAAAATCAAAGGAAAACAAACAATTTTATGTCACTATTTTATCCGATATAATGAAGATCATGACAATGTTGAAATACAATAGTAATAAATGGTTTTCTTTATCAGATAAAAATAGATTTCTAGACTAAGTCTTTGGAACTAGCCACGATACATGACACATGTACCTGTTTGAGCATTAATGAAAGAAACGTAACAATGGAAATAACAATAAAGCAATCTACAAACTAAGGCTATCGAAATAGACGATTGAAAGTTATGTCACAACTTGACATTAGTTGGATAAGGCCATCGAAAACCAATGAGTAGTGGAAAGTTGTTCTTTCTGATTTCGTGATAGTGTGGAAATATAAAACCGTATAGAATCGAATTCACATTTGAGCAAGTATGATAACTTCAGCCTACTGAGTCATATTTCAATGATCTAGAAATAATCAACTTCAGTCAATTTGTGACATATGAGCTATCCCCATTCGATACTTTGAGTGACTGAACTAACTCCCCATTCGGTTGATTCTATATATCCCGTGTTTGCATTAGAATCTCCAGTAAATCCATATTACAACTAGTCTCTATTAAGTAGGCAATTAATCATGCGACAAGATGGACTTGTGTACACTTTTCTGTAACTTGAAGACAACGGTGGTAACAAACGGACAATATCTCTTCTAAAGACTGCAACAAGTTGTCGACACTGGGCTCTATTCTTCTCCTCAAGATATCGTCTACCAGGTGTCCTATTAGCCCCTGAAGACCGGCTACGTCGACCTGATGTAATGAAGGACCGTTTAATAACTCTGTGAAGAATGGTTTCACGATACCATGCAACCTGCCAAATCGCTTATGTATAATAATGATTGTTTCAGTGTAACATGACTCCTGTAGCTCTCCTAGGGTTATTGCTGGTCTCATGCCCAGGTAAACAAGAAGCGTTGCGCATCGGGTCGAGGACCCCACCCCATAGAAAATAACTTTGCTAAAAAACGCTAGCCAGAATAAACAAATTAAAACATTTAAACTATGTCCTCCAAGTTCAAGGATCTTCATTCAGAAGAATTATGAAGCCTCATGATGAAACCCGAGATTCTTCGAAAGTCACGAGGTCGGTGCCCCTTCTAACAACCAGAGCAACAATTAATATAGGTACATGGAATATTCAAACAATGTGGGAGGTCAGGAGGACCGATCAAATAGCCACAGAAATGAGGAGGTACAACTTGACGGTTCTACGAATAAGTAAAGCCCATTAAACCCAAGCTGAATAAAAAAGACTGAATTCGGGAGAGATGCTGATGTATTGGAGTCATGAAAGAGAAAGTGTCTTGCACACACAAGGAGTTAGACTGATGCTCTTCAAAGAAGCAAGTAAAGTACTTAAAGGATGGGAATCTCATTGACCCGGAATCATCAAAACACCATTCAAAATAGAGAAGGAATCACAATGAATGTTGTCCAATGTTATGCACCCACCAATGAAAGCAATGAAGACGATAAAGATCAGTTCTACGAGAGGCAACAATCCATCATAGCGAATTGCTCAGAAAACGACCTGACCATCCTGATGGGAGACCTAAACACCAAATTCGGAATGAACAACACCGTATATGAAGATATCGTAGAACGAGATGGACTGACTGGGATAGAGGGAAGAGAATGCTGAAAGATTTGCAAACTTATATGCATTCAACTAAATGGTTATAGACTGCACGATATTCTCTCAGAAACGCATACACAAAGCTACATGGATCTCACTGGACCACACCACAGAGAACCAGATCGATCATATTAACATCAGGAAAAATTTCAGAAGCACAATGGAAGATGTGAGAACCAGGAGAGGAGTCAGCTCCTCTCCTGGTTTCACATTACCACCAGCCGGTGGTTGAAATGTTGAGACTGAAGCTAAAGAAACACTGGACAACTGGGGTAAGAGCATTACAGAGGTTTAATACAGTCTTCCTTCCACAAACTGACAAACTCAATGAATTCAAGATAGTTTCAACAACGGGCTCCGAGCCTTACAAGATCTACTCAGAGAAGAAGAAACTACTATGGAGAACAACTGGAAAGAGATAAGAGAAGCACTAACTTCAACGTGTCAGGAGGTGCCAGGCCTCGAGAAGCATCATCATGGATCTCCGTCGAAACCCTATTTTCGATTCAAGAAGGGAAGAACAAGGAGACAGTGATTAACAACAGCCAAACAAGAACAGAGCAAGTCAAGGTACAAGATGGATGCACAAGATCAAACAAGCACGTGATACAGAGCATTAGAGACGACAAGCATAAATAAGTGGAAGAGCTAGCAATGACAGTGGAAAAAGCTGCAAGAGAAGCAAATGTGAAACAATTATTTGACATGACGAAGAAACTGGAAGGGAAATATAGTAAGCTGGAACAACCAGTTAAGGACAAAGAAGGCAAGATAACCAGTGGAATTCAAGAACAGAGGAACAGGTGGGTGGAACACTTTGAGGAACTCTTGAATAGACCTCCTCCACTGAATCCACTGGACATCGAAGCAGCACATACAGACCTTTTTATAGCTGTCACTCCACTAACGATCAGAGAAACGAGAATGGCCATCAGTCAAATCAAGAGTGGGAAAGTAACAGGCGTAAGTAAAGTAGGTTTGTGCTGCTTACCTGACTCGAAATAAAAAAGCAGGAACGGAACATCTCAAGATAACATAAATAGAAGGAAGGTGAATGCAAGTTCAATGTTTTATGGACCCTAAGAAAATAAAAGAGTTATTAACAAATCGTCAATTTCTACCAATTCGAACCATACATTTTTTCATCACAACTCCAATCGGTGGTAGTTCCACCTTGAGTAATAATGAGATAAAAATGTTCATATAACTTGTTTACATAGTGCAGGTTGATATGAATGGCTTTGAGTTATACAATTTATGTAACAACTAGTGATATTAGCCAGATTTTCGACAAACCCAAGTACGTATGACCTACAGGAACCTGTAACGTATTGATTAAAAGTTGAGTGTGTCAATGAAAAAGTTGCCGCTTGATATTAATATTATATATGTAGATTGCTGAAGTCTTGGATTTGACAACTTTTTAGTAACGACCGTTGCGAATTCAACAATATAATGCTATTATTGAATTCATGGAATTATCAATGTTAAACCACCATTGGAAACTTGGAAGCACTGGACAGCCGTTTCGCCTTGGTATGGGACTCTTCAGCGGCTTGCATCGCAATCCCGCAAGCGGGATTCGAATACAGGACCTTAGACCTCATGCATGAACGCTTAACCTCTAGAACATTAGGTCGGCATCCAACGGTGTTAATCCACGATACTCAGCGACAATCTTCCACTGTCTTCGCTGGGTAACTGCTTCACATCCAACATGGTTGAACTGCACTGGTCACGGCTTCTCACTAGAACGTCAAGAATTACCTCTCGAACCTAGTCACTAGTGAGCAAATAAAAACTGTCGTGTCGTGCAATATCGTGGATTGGTTGAAGTTAGACATCGACATCATTGGATGCCCGTTTAATGGTCTAGAGGTTAAGTGCACGCGCGTGAGGCCGAAGGTCTTGTATTCGGATCACGCGTACGGGAACGTGGGTGCGGACCGCTGAGGAGTTCTATACTAGGACAATACGGTCGTTCAACTCTTCCACGTTTTCAATGGTGATCTAATATTGGTCGGTTCATGATCTTAATTAAAACTTAACAACAATATAATGCTGACCAACTAGACATATACTCGCATATTAAAACATGCTATGGTAAGAATAACCTTTCACTATTGGTTAAACTTTTTCAATACGAAATAAAATGATACAAAACATATTAGCTGCTCGTTATATATTAAAACCTCATACAAACAGTATATTATAACCATTCTCATGAAATTTAACATTACGTTGAATAACAACTTTATTCTCATTGACTGGAAAACAGAAAGAACGACTTATAACAAACAATAAATAGTTGTATTTAGATTGTTTGAATTTACAGTCACATTAATGATATTCATAAACAGAAGCAATGCAAAAGTCAAAGAGTATGATTTGAAAATATCTCATGAGCAAATAAAGCATTTTTTTATCGACGTTGGTGATCGCGTGGAGGTGGATAAAAGCGATCGTCCGATCCATGGTATCGCATATTACTGCCGCCTCGCCCTGATAAATTATTAGGATTGTAACCACCACGTGAACCGCCGCCGCCGCCAACACCACCGCCACGATTGTGTTGTCCTTGGTTCTGAAATATATATGTACATATATATTTATATTTATATGGGTTTATTTGTAAGCTTTTTTCAAAATTTATTCACCAATTATCTACAAGTGATCTAATAAGCTTATAATAACTAGACATGCAGTTTTGCTGAATCCTTCAGATTTACAAAAGCATCCGTCAAAAACTATATTATATTATCAATAATATAATCAACTCACAGGCTGAAACCCGCCGCCATAGTAGGTTATTCTATTAGTGTCTGCGTACGGACCACCTGGTAAGAGACCAGGCCCGCTAAAGCCTTGGTTGTTAAATGCGTTAGTGGACATATTATTATTATTATTATTGTTACTATTACTAACATTGTTATTGGACCAGCCAGATTGTGCGTTGATTGAATTAGCTATGGAAACCGCAGCTGCTATTGCAGCAGCACGAGCAGCATTTATATTCCCACCGCCAGTGCCTCCACCGGCTGCTCCTAAACCACCAGGTCCAGGCGCTGAAGTGAATCGAGCAAACGGTGAACCAGAGCTTCGTGAACGTGATCTGAAAAAGAAGGTATTTTGAAGTATAAGTGATATTAAGCAATGAAGAATCAACTGTTTAGCTCATGTGGCTATGTTTTTACACCTATTGATTATTATTCACACTCAAATTACTACGGAAACTATGAGAAATATTAAACCTTACCACAAAATAGATTCGTTGTATATAAATATGTATTTTTCTCAAAATATCTCTCAAGATCCTGTTATTGAAATTTCGTAATTTTAATTCTTAATTCCATCCACCGAAATCAAGCTGTGGGCCTAAAATTCATAACTCTAGAGATGTACATTGCATTCTCGCAATTGTCTACCTTGTCTTTCGTTGTTACTTCGCCGGACATTTTTCAAGATTACATACAAGCTAAATACAATCGAGTTGTACAGTAATACTGTAGTGAACAAGAACACGACTGGAGACAATCAAATGTATTTAAGCACAAATTACAGACTATCTCACTAAATTCTGATTACCATACAGTTAACAGTTAATTTGCAAAATAACAATCATTTGTCTCAATCTTAACTGTTCCTTCTGCAAATATCAGTCCTTCTTCTCTGATTTCATTGTTTATGCATTTCACACCGATTGAGCTTCGTTCCTGTTCTTTCCTTGACGATCTGCCAAAATACACTTTATGCCTGACCATCATCATATACTACTTATGTGGATATAAGTAACCCACACCACAATACTACCAAGTGTCTCTAATTACAGAAAGCGTAATTTATCATACGCTAACAATTCAGATATCAACTAATTGAATAGACAATCATAATATTTAATCAAAAGTATGTCTAATAACAACACACCAAGCACTCTAAATTCTTATACTACAATTTACATTGACATGAAGACCAGAAAGACATGAAAGAAAAGTAAGAGTGTATACTACTATTACTTTGAGCATACTAAGGAAGCATGGAAAAAGCAGGTATGAAATGTAAACACAACTAACCTGTCACGTCTTCGATCTCTTGAAAGGCCACGTGACTGGTTACTACCAGTTTCATCATCATTATTAGGTGACACAGATTTGGAACGAGAATCACGAGAATCAGAGCGTGACTGCGATCTACTTTGAGAACTATGAGATCTAGATCGTGATCGTGAACGAGAACGAAAGTCACGGGAACGTGAATCCGCAGAATGAGAATGAGATTTTGAACGTGAATCAGATCTATGAAAGATGAATTTCGAAGAAAACTGTGTAAGGAATGATTAAATAATCTCCAGTAAATAAAGTACACTTATTGTAGCCTACTGGAAGCGATCTGATAGGATGGATTTTATAGGCATTATATCAAACAGTTCTTTATAACATAAATATATTAGAAACTTGTAAAATTTAGCACAAACCTAGAACGGGATCGCGATCCACGAGATTCAAAACGGTCAACAGAAAATCCTGGCGGGGGTCTTTGAATCAAACCTTGAGGCAGTGGAAGGGTTGGTGGTGGCTGGTTGACCGGAGGAGGAAATTGTAGAAAGCTTGTATTAGGAAATCCACTTGGTCCAGGTGGAATGGCGCCTAGTAAACCTGGTAACGGAGGAACAGGTATGGGAATACCCGGTTGAATGCCAGCTGTTTTATAAGCACTATAATTATGCGTTAACTGTCCTTGCATACACTGCATCGGAGGAGGGGCCAAGGTCAATGCTTCGAGGCCAGTCCGAAGAGGTTGACCTACTGCAATTTTGGGATAAGATGTTATATATGCTAATTGTGATGGTCCAAGGGGAGTTTCTTTATCTGAATTGTCGCGTGAAAATGGCTTTTCAACGTCAACCACTATGTCATGTTGAAGGTCTGGAACTAATTCATTTGTGAAATCATATTCCGAATGACTACTTGCATAACTACCTCCACTATGTTGACGACGTCGATTCGATTTTGCTTTACTGGTAGATGTGTTATCTCTCTATACCAATGAAAAAAAGGATAATACGCATATTAAGTGCTAGGAGGTATAGCACATTTACTTTATAAACGACCCACAAGAGCGAGACCACATAATAACATAAGATCACAAAAGTTATATCACAAAGTATACAAACCATATTGAAGGTAACGGTTTATCTTCACAACTAAAGATAGAATGTTTTAATCTACCTTTTTCCATTAAACAAACGTTGATTCTTGATACCTTTCTAAAAGCTTGAAGATCGACTATAAACTGTTTAAAATTATTAATACATTATTTACTAATTAAATTCACTAATCCTTTAAACTCATTCGAACAAACAATAATATTGATCACTATGATATAAACTGTTCAAGTAGAAATGATAAACTGATTGATATGAATGATAAAAATGTCAGGAATATTTTATTAATTCATAATTTCTAAAAATATTATTCAATTGATTGTATTGTTATGAGTTTATGATTTGTTCTAAAAGAAAGCAATTAAGCCATGAATAAATGAGTGACTTCAAAAGTACATAATGTTAAGTGCCATTAAATATTATCCTTTTATAAACTGAATTTTGAAGTAAAAGATAGTTAGACTATTAGACAGAAAGCTAATTTGAGATGGATAGTGGCTAGCAGTGGAATCCAGGACGCGCGTTTCGTCCTATTTGGGACTCGTCAGCTGGATGTACCTGCATCTCAGAGTTGATGTTCACTCTGGGACTGTGAATTAATGTGTATTAAGGTGAATTAAGGTATATCGAGGCAATACGCACAGCATGCACATATGCCAATTAGAGACTGACCAGTTGCAGTCCTAAACACATCGATGGGAAGATCCAAACAAACAATACTAAGTGAATTCAGAAAGCTAATTTGTTTGATGGATTTGTCTTAAACTTGGTTATTCCCTTTTGAACGTTAATTTGAATTAATAATCGTAGAAATTGATGAGAATTTGTTGAAACGAATATTTCTTTTATTTAAATAAGCGTTTCGAGAAAATCTATTAAGCACAAAAGGATAGTTACCTTTATATTTTCCTCCAGTGGTAATTATACAAACTAATAAATAATTAAGTATTAAAATCGGAAATACATCTAATTACAAAACATTTTAAGAGAAATTTCCAAGTTACAAAAAATTGGACTAACATCGTTTTCTTTATGGTCAGAAGGACGAGCGCGTTCTTTTTTCGTATAAAATTCATGAAGGGCCATGTGTTCCCAACCTTCGCCGTCACGTGGTTTATCTGGGGTGGGTGGCATGTAGAAGTTCTCCAATGCCATAAGCAAACGTTCAGACGGTGTAGTTGGAGGTAATAATTGCAAATTGTTTTCGTTTAGTGGAGTAAAATCAAAATCTTTTAACCGAATTAATGGATGCACTAATCCTGCAGGTAATTGCCATGCGGGGAATTTTTGATTTATGTCATAAGATTCAACAACTGGTATCATAGAATTTTCTGAATTTTTTGGCATTTCTAGATCAGTCTTAGGTGTTATGTGTTGCTGTTCCATAGTGACAGTATTTTTGCCAGTATCACTACGATCAATTTTCTTTTCATTACCTGTCTCAGGATGAGATGGAGTAGAAGAAAATCTTGAAGGACGACTACCACGAAATGTTCGAGGTTTCTCATCACGATTACTTTGATTGTCTCGTGTATTTCGAACACTATGAGAAGAGTCTTCATACTGTCGATAATCGTTATTGTTATTATTATAATAACCTCCATAAGATCCTGTAAAAAGAAAAGGATATATATAGAGAGATAGATATAGATATAGATAGCAATATGTACATAACATATAATGTATATAATATATACCTTTGTAATAATTAAGGATAGAATGAAATTTACTTAGATGAGAGACAACATTTTTCCTTTAAGATGATTTGCATTAGACAAATTTGAGGAAAGTACATACAATAAGATAGTTAATGGGTTACTAATCAAGAAACAAGTTTTTCACTTTCATAATCGATTATAAAAAATAAGAACCCATGAAAAAATTCAAAGATATCAATTTGAAGTATCCCTAGTGAAATATTTATCATTATTAAAAGTTATCATGCATATATATGTATATTATGTAACTAACTTGTCTTTTACTTTTTTATCTTATAAACAAATCGAGAATCAACTCCCTCGATGAATGTTGTAGCAGTATGAACAGACTGGGACAATATAAAAGAAACCAAGTCATGCCATTCCGTGCCATACATAGGTGTGTATATTACTGTTTACCTCAAGTACAAACTCGTCTTTTATTTTGCTCGATTACATAGACAGGATTAGAAATGTTAAAGAATGTCATTCAGTGGTTTATAGCGGGGGTTTTCATAAAAAATGTTGGCTTTTTATGCCATACTCAAATTGTTGATCGCTACTACTGGTATGGTTGTTGATTATTGGCTGAAAAATAAGATTTTTCCGCTACTTATTGAGTGGAAGAAAACTGAAATGGGTCTGCGGAATAAAGAAAGTGAGAATGTTACGTGAGGGTTTACTTATGCACCATTTTGAATGTTCGGCTAATAAATAAATTTGGACGAATAGAATTAACAGTCAACCAATAATTTAATGTGTGAACACAATTTAAGCAATCAATACATGAAAATCCTTCAAAAAATATAACTAAGTCACTGGATTATATATTTCGTTCTTTCTTAATACCTCGCCTATCTGAATAGGAGCGAGTAGTTTCCAGAAGATGGGAGGTCAACTTGAACATTAGATATCTTTTCTAATTCCTCTCCCACTTTTCGATACGCTGGATGTAGAAAAGCATTTCTCCACCAATCAAATACTTATCGATAAGTCTGGATACCGACACACTTAAACTGTCTTCCTATCGGGTTCCGTTATCCCCGACTACTTCTACAAGTCAGTTGAAATACTAGAGCAGGCGCGAACTGAGCAACAGCTTAACTCTAAGGTCAGTTTATGAATACAAAAACGAGGGCCTTTGTAGAATTACACACGACCTCGAGCTTCCGGAAATTCTCGGGACCATAGTGAATATAGTAGATTTGGTAAACACCCAATCAAATTGTGGCACGTGACTCTATTTTCTAAATGTTTCTGTGAAGATTCTATTCAACGGTGATTGGACAAAACGTCTCCTGGCATTTCTGGGCCTCCAGAGATTTTGACAAGGTATATTTCTGGGACTCTTTCAACACTTATCATCTCAATAATTCAATTCCGATATTTAGAGAACGAAAAACGAGAGAAATTATCGAGCTTGATGCGGATTAAAAATCAGTGTTTTTATCTCATGTCTTCAAAAATAACTGAAATCAAAACTACAAATAGCCGGTTAAGCTTCTGTTGGAGTGGTTGAAGTCAAATCTTGAAACAACCATTAAAGATAGAATGATAAAACTTACTATCACTTTTTGAAAACAGTTTGGTTCATTTCTGCAAATTACATACAACGTATTTCTAAAGACTATACAAAGAAAATCGATTTATTGAAGGACAACTAAGAGTCAGATTTAATAGCAGAACTATGATATGACAAAAAGATAGGCTAGAGGCCAAAGTTACAGCATTTGACAAGTCTATAATATACACCGTCCTAACAGTAGTATGAAAGCGACTAACTACTAAATATATACAGAAGTAGCATTTGAATAAAATGAAATACTGATTGTGACTAGAATTAATCAAACACTAACTACTAATGAACTTACCGCATTCATAAGACGAATTAGGATACGCAGATTGTTCATCATCTGGTTCTTCACCTTCAATATATACATTGCTGCTTAACTCATGACCACCAAAATTTTTATGTCCAGGCTGAGAGTTGTAGTTCGGGACAGACTGATTCCATTTTGCAGAGTCATGTTGCCCAGGTGGCCAACCCATTTGAGGAGGATAACTTGCCCCACCACCACCACCACCACCACCAGGTCCTGTATACCCTGACATTTGTGAAGGTGGAGGATAACCAGGCATTCGACGTTGCATATCTCTTGGATCTGACCCGCTCATCATATCCTGTGGAAGCATATCGAATCCTCCAGTAGTCTGTGGTGGTGGACCCCAGTACGTGAAGTTCGGATCAACATTCTGTAAACAAGAGGTATTAAATGTGTTAACAATTACATAATAAATATCCTCCTATCCGAATAACTAAGTCAAATGGGGAGTGGACTGATCAGTGATTATATACAAACTCACTAATAAAGACAAAGTTATTCTGAACGTGACCAACTTACTAAAATACTGAAAGTTAAACTTAATTAAAATAGAACGTCCAGATCATGTTTCACAGTAAACCGTTAGCAATGTTAAATGACAACAAAAAAGCATTTGATAGAAATAAACGTAAGCGAGGAATTGTTTTCAGAATTTTTCTAAAACAGATTAAGAATTAAACCCATTTTGGGGGAAGCGAACAAAATCTAATCAAGTTAGTTTTTGCAAACTGATGGTTAAAAAACAAATACTAAGTTACAGCTTCACTCATTTCAAAAGCATCAAATTAAAAGTCATAATTGGGATAATTTTGAAGTTCCAATAAATTAATTAGTCACCGAACTGAACAATGTATATAAATATGTTCAGCTTTAAAGAATACTTTAATTGAAAGTGAATAAAAATCTCCAAATAACGTGTTAAGAGATTAGTAGGGTGGATTAGACAATTCTGACCTATCTTTATTTCTTACAAGTTTTACCGAGAATAATAGTTCATAAAGGTACTTCTCCATTCATAAATGATGCATAGAATCGTTAGCAGAATGAATCAAGGAAACACACATACATAGCAACACTAAGGACAATATCATCTGTATACTATATATTACAGATTATTTAGATAAAAATATGTAAAGCGTGAAAAACAATAAGTATAACATATTTTATTAAAGGCATATTCTAGATATTTCAAATTACTATCGATGAACAATATCTAAAATGATTTCAATCAGTTTGGGGTAGGAAAGTTAAAAAACGCCGCTCAACTATGAGAGATCACCGCATTTATGAGTACTAAGTTATGAACTATATTTGTTTTTCAAGGAGTAATAACCTCAAACCACTTAGAAAAAAATTGACAGTTGAATATCTACACAGTACTGCCGACAGACATTTTTCTAATTAACGTTTAGAGAAAGGAACACGATTGTAAATCGAATATAATGTGTCCACACATACTCCTAATTCATCAGGAACGAACCGATTTTTATGCCACTATAAATAAAGAATACTAGGGTGAAAATAAATTTTATTTTATACGAAATCATTATGTGAAATAGGGTGCCCAAAATCATGGATTACACACTGAATTAAGACTTGGAAAATCTAGTGCGTGGAAAAAAATGTCTAAGTCAAGTGAATGATTTATTCATTCACCACAATAAATAAAAGACCAACCATCAAACTAGATGGTGTGTAATATGATGACTACACAAATTTTAAAAAATGACTATAGACAGATTTTAGTCGGCTGCAAAAAAGCATGATTTGGACACTATAAAATAATGGATTCACTAGTTACAATATCAGAAAAGAGAAAAATAAGCACGAACAACATTACAAAACAACTGAGTAGCATAAATTATTTTGCAAGACTATGAACAGAGTTAATCCTTTCAATCTAATATATAATAGGTCCAGTCTATGTTAATAAATGTTTGAGAAATATCTATTATTATTATTATTATTTACTTATTGCATATTTTACAAATATTCTGGAAAAGTTTACATGTATTTTTTCCTCGAAAAGTAACATGAGCAAGTCGAACATTGACCACAATTTCATCAAACACACGAACACATAATTATAAGTGGTTGGAACAACAATTAATACCGCTTTACAAGTAATACTTCGAAATTAACTTTAATGTCATTATATTTGACAATGCTATCTGTCTGGAATCCCAGACCACTTCGAAACTTAACAAACTATTTCACTAAAATCTTCTTGCAGGAACTACAATTGTAGTATAAACGACTGTTAAGTAATGTCCACATGCACAAATACTTCCTCCCCACCTCTAGTACTAATCCTAATGTTTTGTACACACACATACATGGATATATATGATAAAGTACAATACACAGTGCTAATGTGAACAAACCTGCATAGGATGATGTGATGATCCATATTGGGAATGATGATTATCAGAGATAGATGCTTCATCAGACTTATCGGAATGTGATGAAGCTAACTGTCGTAGTACATGATCTGCAAACTCTTGATGTTGTCGCTCAAGACTAGTGTATTGATTCATAATATTTGTTTTTATTTTGTCTATTTCACTTTCAAACGGCTGAAGAAAAAACAAACAAACAAGCAAACATGAACAGCTTGAAAAAAATTAAACCATACTCTTAAAAATATTTATTTTGGGCTCCATAGTCTATTGGATATTATCTTATACAACATTAATGTGTAATAACAACTCACAGATAAAGTTGTGCATATCGATGAATTATTCCCATAAACATAATAAGTAGTAACAGTTAAAGGATTTTAAAACTTAGTTCTCTTTCACTAGTCTCATACTTTTTATTGATTGGTTTTATAAATGTCTACTAATTTACCCATTAAACAATTCACTACAAAAGTATTGGGCTTCAACTCAATTATTTAATATTTATTATACCACAAGAAAACATTGATACAATGAAGTACTTAAAAATGGGTTCTACAAGAAAGCTTAAGATGAGAGTCTCGGGGAGAAAAGACACAAAAAAACTCGTAGTAATGACAATATTAAGAATACTAAACGATATATGTTTACGTATGTAAATAACAACTGATTGAGTGATTTGAGTAGCTGATATGTGTAAAAAAAATAAGAAACCACCCATATGTTTAACATTAGATGAAATTCCAATAATTGGCCTTTTCTTTCATCAACACAGTGATTATATGCATGACGAAAGAGTTCAGTTTTTCTTTTGCCTATGTCTAATGTTTTGTTACTTTTTTTAATTTAGTTGTTTGAATACTATGTCGACAGTAAGGAATATCCGGTTTAGACATTTGATATAAAAAATGCTATACTTTCCTATTTCAGTTTTCGGTAAAACCACGCTACTTTCAATGAACAATTTCAGGTTAATGACAGTTTGAATAGAATATTTTGATTAAACAGTTCATGAGTTAAATAAGGGTTAGTGGTTAGGATTATTCAACTGCACACAACAATATAGAACAGCAGAACACAGTATTATACACAGAAAAAGAGTCGCGTTGACTAGGTGTTTTCATCAGCAATTAACCGTAAGACGATTGAGCTTTTAAATATCTTGTAATTATTATGATTATTATTATCTATATCAATACCTCATAATTAGCAGTAATGAGCATTTCATATTGCACTTAGTTGATCACACTAAGAGGTAATCAACATTGAGACTGAATGAAAATGGTTACTGTGGTATATTTACGTAACATTAATTGCTAGAAACTAAAATCTACTTGCAGAATTAGTAACACATCTGATTTACATTTAATGGATAAGGGGGATGTTATTTATTACAGAACTAATTTGGAAAAAAGAACTTGCTTTACTTATGCAAATAAATATTAAAAAACAATTTCACTTAATAATTAATGTGATCTGAAAAAACCAACGCTATTAATTGTTGGATGATGAGCGGAACAATGATTTTGATCTTCAGTACTGGTAGAATACTTACTATTCCATAAGAAACTCAAACTAATTTTTAAGTAAAATGACAAAGGAAAATAATTGTTAACAAAAAAGTAATATTTGTGTTACTCCTAATTAACTGTTTTAAAACTTGGATAGCTATATAATGAGCTAATACATATTAGATACTACTCCTAATCATATAAATTGACTGTGACACAGTCTAATTCTGAATGCATGAGATAGTTTATGGGCAGGTGCATATCCCAGAACTGTAAGGATGAAATAAGACGTCTTCATAAAAGTTGAGTCCAAACCACAGTAAACTATTGGATAGAGTCAGTCAGTCAACTATAACGTAGGACCAGGCACAAATATGCATCGGCCCAAGTTACTATACTTCATTAGCACAACGAGATGAACACCAAATTCATAGAATTAGTCACTTCAACGGTAGTAATATATAAAAGAAAGATTGTTTATAAGGATATAATACAGGAAGAAATAATTAGTTGGTAGAAAGAAAGGTAGAAAGCAATTTTAATCTCATGGTTCAAGGGAAGACAAAGAGTATATACACCTACGCCATTGTGATCGATTCTGAGCCATGTTATACAGAGTCTCCAACCACTGGTTACGATAGTCGCGCGGACCCCAGCCAATTAGTCTGCATCTATCAACATGGCTCAGACCAGAATTTAGTGACTTCAAGAACTGATGTCACGGATAGAGCAGAGAAAACGATGAGCAACATTAAGATAACGAAAATAATGGTTTTATGACAGACATGGTTTTCTGAGGCATAAATGGTTAATTAAGTTCAGCATCTATCAGCCTAGATACTACTATTTTTCGACTGCGAGTTCTCAGTTGCTAGGCTTAGAAAGCAGTTATTTACCACACACCATCGTGATTCAAAAGGTCCAGCAGGCATATTTACCGGTTATTAAATAACTAGCATGATGAGACAGTCCCCTGGAATGGAACCATGGGACTGGAAGTTATCATATGAAGGAATTTCAATACTTTCTTTTCCGTTCGATAAACCAACATGCTACTATCGTCCTCAATTTTTTAAAACTTTCCTTCCGCCGGTAATGCAGAGACAAATATCACTATACTATCAATATAAACTTCATTTTAACTCTCCGAATTCGTGAATTGCGTTATAAGACTGATTAACAAAATCAACAAGACACTAAATAACAGAACATGGACAAGAAGGTGGGACAGACTTCCCTTCTAGTAAACTAGGCATTTATAAAGTAAACAACCTGGCATGTGATAGATAAAATAATAAAAGAATTTTTAGTTATGAGGAAAACATATTCCGGAAAGGCTAATTTCTCTGAATGGACACACTCTGCTGTATCAGTTACGGTGTAAATTTAACTCTCGATACACTTAAAGCATGAGTTTCAATTACAAAATATTTAAGTCTTCAGTAGATTGAAATATCCTAGTGTCCGAAATTTATAAAAAGATCATTCTGTTCTATAGAAAAAGATGAAATTTTGTGAAGTACAAAACTACTAAATTTACTGACCTTTGATTGACTTTCTTTCCATTCCGCTAAGAATTTACCTGATTCTGGAGGTCTCATCTTTACCAGAACTTCAACTGGCAAATACGAGTTGGTTTCCCACAAGCTTAAAACACGATTAATTTTGGCTCTTTGTTCATCATCTGCAATCTCGGTAGCTAGACAGAAAATTACCGGCACTGTTTCGTGTAAAGCTTCCTGTAGATAAGTATTGAAATAAAGTGTGTATTGAATATATTTGTGAGCTAAATTCATTCTCACAACATAGTGCAACTTAGAAACTAAGAGAATATTTATAGTCTAAGCTTAAGTTACAAATTTTGTATGAAAACTAGTGATACTATCCTGACATTTACACTGCATTAAGTCGAATTAAGTTGGAACTTGCAACTTTATGTTTGGAAATCGAGCACTTTACCTAGGAGTCACCTCTTAATTTATTTTTATCTATAGAAAATAAGTCTTCCATAGAACAAAGATCTTACGTAAATACGAAATTCATATGACAAATCGACCAGTAATTTTTTTCGCAGAGAAAGATTATCCAGTATAGTTTGATAACTAACCAAACAGCTAAGTCGATTTCAAAAGGGAGGATCAAAACCGAGTAGATATAATCTCACGCTATGTCTATATTTCTCGACAGTAACAACCAAAGTTTGTTCTATATAACAAGTGTAGACTCTTGTTCAGTGTGACAATTTTATTCCCTGTACTAATTCAAATGAATTGTATTTATTGTGTTCTTACAGTAATCTTAAGTATTCCCCCCTCCTATGTGATATTATTATCTGTCATAACTTGTAGCCCTGTGATCTATTAATATATAACGTAGTGATGCCGCCAATTTGAGAACAGTGAATTATCGACCGGATCCATGACGCATAAACCCGTAAGAGCAGTCTAGAGTCCCTATTGGTCCTTCTTCCTACCTGGCCCTGCTTGTTGAGTCCAGAACAGCAATCTCAGCCTCTGCAATATGATTCATCTATTTCAAACATACTGGGTATAACATTGTGTGTTAAATTAGTACATAAATGACTAAATTTTAATCTAAGGATGATGTGACCTTAGGACTTATCTGGAGGGAGTCAACAAACCTTCATTTCACTAATCTCTCGTGTTCTCACTCTGGGTCGTGGGAATTGTAGTGGTCCTCGTTTACCAGTATAGGCAATATAATCCAGAAATTGTAGTGGTTCTCGACTATTAAGTAAAATCAGTAAGACTGAGGACTCAATGGACTCTATACGTACGTAACAGTGACGGTTCTCCATATATAACAGTTGGCTGTACAGTTACAACTGTGGAAACGAGGCCATTTTTCCAGTTATAACAGTGCTGACGAGCCACTTTTCAGTTATGACGCTAGTGAACCCATCATATAAGCAATTAGATATGAAACTATTTCATATATTAGTAAGTTAAATATCATTAGAAAACCGAACATGTACTTTAAGCAAGTGAGTAACAAGAATAACTTTAACTTTTACTACCATAACACTGTAATCAAACATGTTATCAGCCTCCGAAACGTATAAACAAGAATCACAGAATTTGCGAACCCAATGTTAGAGGGTGGTAATCTACGGATTTGAATTGGAATCTCAGAAAATCATTTAAAGCTAATTAGTCATAGAGAGGACATTTTAGTGTTACAATAATTGCATAGGAACAAAAGCACGAAGTCAACATTCGTAAATACTTCGCATAATCTATTGTGGAAAAAACCGGACGTGATATACGAATATTAAACAGCGTTTATATTGGTGTCGTTCCGTATGTAATTGAAACCTTTCTGTGTGATGAGTAAAACAGCACTAATTCCCTAAGTAACTATTTACTCTAACAGTAAGCAATAATGTACACCTTTCTTGTGAGGTTCGCAAAAAAGAATAAACAGTTGTTAGCTTGATGTCACGGTGATGTGGCTTAACATTAATCACGATAGTATTTTTTGTTTATTATCCTCTATTCTCAATTATTCAACGTATTCTGATACTTAGCCTTTGTGTCGAATTCCGCCTGTTGAGTCAAGATTTATAGTAACTAAAAAATCCAATATTACTGTACGTTCTAAAATGATGGAGTCAATCGAATGTTAAATCGTAAGATACGATAAGTTTATTGTAAGTAGAATTACTTAGATAGTAGGCTCCTTAAATCAAAATCATAGTGTAAACCACAGTAAGCTAAACAGTATTGTCAAGTAATTTTGAGTGTAAAGATAAGATTCACAATGACAACAGAGAATCTTTTGGGACTAATCAAAATGAATGTAAATCTGTAAGTTGTCTCCAACTTTTAATAATAACATACTTGCAGATGAACAGGAGCACCACGACGTTTAGAATGATGAAGTAGGTCGTTTAACAAGTATACTAAGTGGAGTCTTAAGTCGAATGAAACACCAATAGCACTTGCACGTGTTATTAGATAGTCAGACATTAGCTTAGTTAGCTCAGCTGACTCAGACATTTTGTCTACAACCCAAGATTTTCCTTTAGATATATTTTCCTTTGTACATGCTTCAATCAGTGGTTGGATCATCTAAACAAAAAATACACAAATTTAATGCAAATCAAAATATCGTTTATAAATAAATTTTCGTTTGAAATTAATTATCATGTTCCAAATATCCATTTATATTGATTTATTCTACTAAAAAACACCCCAGATTTAACAAGTTTCAGTTTAATACTACACTCAACTGACCAGTAGGCGTCTAAAAATGGAAGCATTGTAATGTCATACCTACTTAATTGCAAATTGTAGTGAACGATGACACAAGTGGGGACAATCGAATGCATTTGATCACAAGATTACAGGATTTCTGAGCAAAATCTGAGAATTATGCAGTAAATAATTAATTTGCAAATTTCAATCAATCGTCTCAAACTTTACAGTCCCTTCATTTTCATACCAATTGAACATGTAAAGTTACATTTCTCAAATAAAGAAGTATCAGTAGCTGATAAGAACGAGTTTTTGTAGCTTCATTCCGTATTTGAAAACCTGGAGTAAGTACACCAATAATTTGGTAGAAGCACTAAACATTCATCAATATACTGGAGGGAGAGGGAAATTCTGGGATCCAGATCCGTATATGAATCTATAAAAACTTACGGCAATAGTCACCAAGAAGAATTACTTTTATTAAAACACGTTTACCTATTAATACCCAACGAGAATTAATCTCCAAGAAACTACTTTCACAAGCCCCGAGGTTTATAGTAAACTAAGTTACATCTAACTGCTACGAGATCTGAGAGTGAAACAGTAGTAAATAAATAAAATAATCCCAACTCTACGACAAAGTAGTCTTTTAGCTGCAGATTTGGACCACATTTTTGCATAAGGACTACGGACTGGCTAAATCAAAGTAGGTGGATGGGGTTTGGACTTTAAACATAATAGCTGAGATTCAAGCATTTTAAACACTAAATGTCTGCTAAAGACATGTAAGTTCGACCACAATAATGGCAACGTAACAATAGTTGGTCTGGTATTTTCAAGCGCTGAAGTGGTCAAGGGTCTCTAAACGACATCCTAACCGAGTTTGATTACCACGATATGAAGTGTCTGAGTGTGTTATACGAGGCATATAAATCAATAATATCAGCATAAACAGTGTACGCAGTTAGGAAGTTATAATTTATCCTACTTATACCACACCATTTTCTAAAACTTTGGTTCCTAAACTTTAGTTTACAAGCCATGTAAATAAGTAATTATGAGATGTTTGTGAACTTTTTTGTTTAACTACCTACACACAACGAATGTAGAAAGAAACAAAATGAGATTCTATATATGAAACGAGTTTCGTACAATTATTAAGCCTCTTTAACGTAGACCAAAAACATTATGCAGACTAATGATAATAATAGTAATGGCAGCAATGATTATTATTATTAATAATAGGATTGTAGCGATTCCCACCTTAGCACTGCCAAAAGTCAAATAAAAACAGGAAATAGATTACTAACTTCGTTCATCTGTTCCCAAGACATGTTCAGTTTCTCCCCAGTTTTCCTAACATTTTCCTCTCTCTTTTTGTCTAAGAGCTCGAGAATTTCAACGTTTTGGCGAGCAAGCAACGACTCATGCTGAGCAGCCAAATTTTTCTCACTTTGTTCGATATCAGCTTCTCCTAGTTCAGAACCACCAGGAACTTGGTAATCATAGTGAGGTTTCGGTGCACGATAAGTCTCAGGTCCAAACGAAAATTGCTGAATTGGGAATGCTCCATGGTGTCCAGGGTAGCCATACGGAGGATGATTATTATAATTTCCATGACGATAAGAATCTACTGCTTCCGAAGGAGGATGGTATGGATATTCAGGCTGACCACCATGCATTCGTACACCCTGTTGATAAGGTGGCCATTGTGGCTTTGGATACCATGATGGATCTGGGCCGCCCCATCCGCAATGTCCTGGTGGTGCAGAACTATAACGCTGCCAATGATCTGGATTCCCACCATACTGATCCCATTGTTCATTCATGTTGACCCAATTGGATCTGGAATTGAGAATCTTAACAGAAAGGTAGAATAGGCCGTTAAGCCAAGCTAACAACAACAGACATTGTAAACAATCAGAAATAAATGCCAACAGGTCGTTCTGGAGCTATTATATATGACTACTGACTCCTACCGGCGGATACATGCATTTATAGCGTGACTTAATAAATATGATACATAATTAGTTCAAGTTCTTGAAGAAAAAATTGATTAATTTTATAAATGGAGCTTAATCATTTAGTAGCTGAAAGGTATCGGCAGTAGACCATAAAATATAAATATGGCTGATGAAGGGGAAAAAAGAAGTGTACAAAAAACATTCAGGAAGGATGTGTGAATTCAAGTAATAAAGGTGAATATTCACTCATACAATAGCTGTGGGACAATCGAAATACACTTACATACAGGTATTATTATCAAAGTTTGACCTGATAATTCCAAATAAACTGGGGGTCGAATAGATTGTTATTAGTGAAATTGATGGTATACATGTAATATCCTGATAAATAGAAAATCAAATTTTTAACGCCTTGCAACTTAGCGTATGCTGCCTCTTCAGAAGTTATTTAGATCATTTAACATGTTTTTCTTCATTAAAGCTTGGTTATTCAGCTTTATATTTGTCGGTAACTGTAAAAACACGAATTACAAAACTGCCCAATTTCATATTGTAATTTATTTACCCCTCAACTAATATAATTGCCATTCACTATTACTATTTGTTGCTTTTTTTAAGAACTGTTGTAAGGCACTTTATGTAGAATTAAACATTTGGGTCTATCTGCCTACCTATGAGTTGATATAAAACGTTAAATTTAATGGGCACATAGCTAGAAATTTAATTGATAGCTTTTCACAACCGATATTTATTACTTTAAAAAGAATGCTGCTCAACACTTCAATATACTACTCAATATTCCTGTCAGAAACTTTACTATTTAGCAGTCTGAACTCAGACTCGTTGACGGGCGACCAGCCGGTTTGTAAGAACTACTTGCCAAATAGGAAATAACATCATGCCTTATTCCTTCTATGACAGCAAGAACAGGACATAACAATCAAGCCTTAATATCGTTGGAATGACCTATGACAGCTATATCCCCTACTACAGTCGTTGTGTGATTTCCAGAAGTGTTCCAAATCACTATCCAGGAGAGAAGTCTTTAGTCAGTCAGTCAGTCAGTTACAACGTAGAACTTCGTACGTACGTACATCAGTTCGAGTTGCCATACCACATTAGCACAGAGATGAAGTTGTCGATTTAAATCCCATAATGGTAGAAGTAGTAAGAGTATAAGCAGTAATCTGAAAGATTAGGGTTTGAAGATGTTATTGAAGGAGTATAATACAATGAAATAAATTTGGAAAGAGAAAAAGGACACAGACATGAAGAATCCAGATTAGAATTTGGTAGAACACAAAGAGTGGATGCACCTTCACCATTGAAAACGATTTTGGGCCATGTCATTCAAGGTCTCTAACCATCGGTTGCTATCATCTCGCGAATCCTAACCAGGTAGTCTACACCTACCAACATGGCCCAGTCCACTTGTCAGTGACTTCATGGATTTATGCCATCTTTTGGTCTGGCCGCCCCTAGCTTTCTTCCAACCTGCTCCTACACCATAAAGCATTGCACGTCGGGGCAGTCGGTGGTTGGGCATACGTAACACATGTCCCAGCCATCTCAACTGGTGAAGTTTCACTACTTCATCAATCGATTTGCCATCCTTACCTAGTACCCGTTTCCTAACATCTGCATTACTTACCCGGTGGTCCCAGGATATACGAGCAATGCGTCGAAGACACCTATGATCGAATATTAGTAGCCTACGAATATCCTCTACTCTTATTGGCCATGTTTCACTTCCATAAAGTAGGACGGAACGGACTGCTGCACAGTAAACCCGTCCTTTTGTTGCTAGACGGATATCTCGCCTACGCCATAAATGACGCAAGTTGGCAAAAGCTAGACGAGCCTTCTGTATCCGTGCTGAGATTTCGTCACATACCAGACCACAAGGGCTGATGAGACTCCCAAGATAAGTGAAGCTGTCAACACGCTCAACTACTTCACTCCCTATCATTAGTTCAGGTGTCGATGCAACCCAATCCTGAAGTAACATTTTGCACTTCGAGGGAGAGAATCGCATCCCGAACATGCCTGAATTGTTGCTTATAGTGGTCAGAAGACTGCATTTTGTCAGAGTCTTCACCGAATAAAACTATGTCGTCGGCGTATTCTAAGTCAACAAGTGAGCCTCCTGGTAAAAGTTCAACTCCAGGAGATTGAGATGATGAAAGTGATACCTCTAAAAACATGTCAACGACAAAGTTAAACAAGAATGGGGAGAGTGGAGTCTTTAAATTGAATATAGATGAGTATACTCTACCAAACAGACAAAAATATACGGTTATTGATTGAGCGAAAGTACCGATTGATTAGATCGTTCATTTGAGCCGTATTATGGGTCTATAATTTCTGTCGGTGTTTGTGAAAAGTCGATGGTCGAAAATTCCATACTAATTGAACTAAACAACACGTTGAAACTCGAAAGAAAAACCTGGACTTAATTGCATAGTTTTAAGATACGTTGTATGGAAATCAGATATATTACTAATGTTAAAACCAAAGTAGAGTTTAAGCCGGTGACAGAAATTTTGAAACCCTAGTGCTCAAAATTGGGTCATATACAAAAACGTTAGGAAATGTAACCCACGACTAGATGCACTTAATCCTCACTTGGGTATAAGTAATGAGCACCTCATTAATGCGATTGATTGTCCTATTATTTTTAAGTTTTCTATTCTATTATTGCAGTAGGAACTATTATCACATGGGTATTTCACCCTTAAATCTTCTTTATCATCCTGTTTGTAGGTGGCCTTACGTGGATTCCCCCCCCCAAAATGCCCTGGTACGGCCGAGAGTGGGGAGAGTCCGCTATACCTCTCCAAATGCTCTCACATGGTCATGCGTATATAGCCTATGCCAGGGAAGTCCTACTCACTGCTTTCTCGTGGCAGGCGCGTTGTTTACGAAATTGAGAGGACGAAAAGCCAATGTCCGGCGCTTTAACCGGGTTAAAGGACACGGAAAATCCACCTAGGGGAGTTGGAAAAACCCTGACTCCAAACCAATGGTGCACATGGGCTCCAGTATCCTGAGGGAACAAAATGCGTATGAATCAATCGTTGATACCGGCTGCCATGGGACTACGTCTCCTTACTTTGCTCCACTGCCCTATGGATCAGATCTTTAAGTCAAAGGCTCCGGGTGTGGTCCCCTAGGAAAACCACCTGCTTCGGTTTGGGCACCCGGCTAGTATCACATCCCTTACATAAATGAAATGAGATTTGTGTGGCGCATACATATCTGGATTTCATTTATCTACTTTTTAGTGAATATAAGGTTTGAAGTCTAATAATAGTGTAACCAGGGTGTGAACGTGACTTGAGAGACATAAATTGGTCTTCGAATTTTAAGTAGTATGATTCGCGATAGTTACTGTTAGTAAATACAACAATTTTAACCTCTTTTACACCAACGAATACTCATTTGTTTACCTAGTAACTTTGATTGGTACCTGTACTAATATACCTAGTGTTTTCGTCCAGTTATTCTTGTCATGTGCAAGCTAAAAGCAAACAATCAAGTCAACATGATGGGCCATTCTACAGAGTTGATGCTTTGGAATTGGTTGTGACAATAAAGACACAGAAGTTGGGTTCAACGATCTTTGTGGATAATATGCTATCTAGCCATAACTAATTGGTTTCTGTGTAGAAAGTTTACCCTGAACTACCAGTCAGATACAAGTCCAAGGAATATAATCCCGGTTAAAAAAGCAAATGTTTAAGCCTAATCCCATGATAGATACTTTTGTGAAAATGATAAATCTACCTCATACAAAACAACCCCTTTGACTACGTACATGTATTACAAACCATATAAACCCTGGCATAAAATTATCAAAAAGTATTACTCCAACCTGATGCGGTTTATTTTTCGTTGGATACTGCTGCTGCCAAATTTTACGAGCTTCGTTTACTCTATACATATAATATTCATGGAACTGGCCACCTCGGAGAAATGCGAACTTTGGGTTGTCCCTCTGTTTTTCACTTGTTAGTGCTTCGAATTCTGGCCCATTTCTGGCCACAAATTCAGCCAATTTATCGATAATGTTCTGCTGTTCAGTATCGACTGGAGGCAGAGGCGATGCCATTTAGCTGCCAAGAGAACAAATCTTAAAATATTAATAACTAAGCCTAAGATTGTAGTTTAGTCACACATATCTCTTTAAGAAGGTTTTTTGTTCATTTGCTGAAAGGGTAAAACTAACACAATGCTTTGTGTGGGTGCATACAGTCACACAAAACTAACTTTCAAAGACACGTAAACACTTTTATTTCCCGCCACAGTTTTACCAAAGGACCAATAAAATACATTATGGCTTGATTTCGAAATACCATAAGTAAATTAATATGATAATTTATTGGGGTTAATGATGCAGGGTACAGCATATGTAGCGAATTGTTGTTCACTATCAAGTGAGAACTCAGAGAAATGTCTATTTACCCTTTACCTGATTAGACGTACCTAGTGTATGTTATCCGATAAGTGCTTTTCTATAAATATGCACGCATATTTCTGAACTAAGGGCTACGTTTTCTTGGCAATAAAGAAAAACTGGAGCAAACAGAGATGTCTCTAGTAGAGTGACTTAATACCAAAGTGGAAATGTTAGGTTACAACATTCCACCTGAAAGTAATAAATAAAACGATTCACATGGTTCTGGACGGAAAACAAGGACCTTCTGCTGAACAGGCTTCTGCACCTGGTAGCAGAAGATCATCGATGTCTGCAGGTGGGAATCGAGGTGTATTAACGATAAAAGAGGGAAAAGAAAAAGGTTGGTGGATCATGGTGAAAAACTGTCCTTAGTCCCTAGGATTTTGTCAAGTTTTCTCTTGAAGGACTCCCGGGAAGTCACTCTCACTAGCTCAACTGGCAGTGAACTCTAACATTGAACTACTGTTAAGGAGTAGATGGTGTGTTTGAAGTCCCTTCTGCCGTGTTGTCTCCAGTTTCGGGGTATTATCTTTGTGTTGGGACTAAGCTTTAGTAAATGTTTAAGGGGATGCATATGAGTGTTTAGCATGCTGTAGGTCATGGGAAGACCACCTCTGAGACGTCTTCACTATAATGGGTCAGGGTTCGGTGGTTGAAGGCGCTGTTCCTAAGGCTTGAATTTGAGTCCCTGAACTGATTTCGTAGCTCGCCGTTGGATACTTTTCAGAGCGTTCTTATTTTTTTGGAATGAGAGAGGAAATACTGTGTTTCTGTACTCTAAATGGGGACAAATAAAACTGTTGAAGGTTATGTGGAAAGTTTTTCCGTTAAACTGACTGAAAATACTCTTCAATGTTACGAGGGTAAGGTATGCTCGAAAAGCATTTTCGTCTCAGCGAAAGACTTCGGATCCTGGGGTACCAACACTCCTAGATATATTTCAACTTGAGATACCTCTATAGATGATTCACTTAAGTTGTATTTGTAATCTGCAAAATGTCTCAGATGGACTACTTCACACTTTGATGAAACATATTTGGTTAGCTCTATCAAAAGCCCTTGAAAAGTTAAGGTATGTGACTCCAACCTTCTCCTTGCGATCAAGGATGGTTGTTCATCTGCCCACCACGGTCAGCGGGTTGGTTATACAACAGTGGTCATTTCTGAAACTGTACTGTTGTGGTGAAAATAAGTTTATGGATAGAAAGTAGTCGTGTAGACCGCCACATATAATAATATGTTTCTGCAAGGCGCCTACGTCGAGTTTGTTCCAGATGCCAGGAGTTCCTCAACTCCGCCCTCAGAGCAAGATTCTGAGGAGAGAAAATAGAAAACAGAAGAAACCGAGGAGCAGCAAGGCATTTGGATATGAACGATTAAAAATGCTTAACATTTAGTAGTGGCACAGATGGAGGTACGATAAATTATTAGATTAATTTGATACTAGCTCATGTTGCTAGAGTGAAATGTGATCAGGGGCTCCAGATGCGAGAATGCAATAATAAAGAACAATGAGTTGTGATATTTATCAAGGTGGAGTAGGTTCGAATGAAGAAAGGGAAGTCAATGTTGGAATGAGGAAGACTGATTATTAAAACAGAGAGTGCAAATAGAAAGTAGAGTGTTAAGTAAAATAACAACCATATCCTTTACAGTCTTTTTTCATCATCCGATGCCTGCCACACAGTTTTCATGTAAAAGTCGGAGTTAGCATGTTATAGGTTGTCTTAATAGAATAGTTAATTCGGCGTTAAAAATTAGAAACATAAGTCTGAATGGTGAGTGTAGAAGAACAACCTCGATATCACAGATTGATTGACTTGTTCCCAACCATAAATAGCCTGACACAAACAAAATGTTCTGCCCCACAAACACGGGTGGATTGAAGTCGTCGCCCTCACCATCAATGCTTGCTGGTCAGTAACTCCACCCTTTTTCCTTTTGTGATGTTAGGCTCATTTACGCTTATTTTATGGACATATATCATACCTCACACAATGCTTTGTTTTTCACATCCTGTTGGAAAACACTATTTCTATAAGTACCATTTTACAAGCTTATCAGACAGTTACAAATTATGGACTGTGGGTAAGGCTTCGATGCAATGCTTTAATTGACTATAGTGTAAAGTATAGGTTGCCAATCAGAGTATAAGCATTAAGAAGGGTATGACGTAGGATAGTTTCTTACCAAAGTAGGCGGAAAAGTGTGGATATATATTAGTTACAGATAAGGTAAGATAACGAGTGGTGAAATAATATTAATGGCAAGGCAATATAGTGTACAGACGAGTGAAAAGCTGATAAAGAATAGACAAGAAGGAACTCACACTAAATTCGTACTGATGTTCTTTTGTCCTATCCTAACCAGTTGATTATTATTATTATTAATGGCTTTATTCTATATTATAATCTGGTACAATATAGAATTCTCAGCCCGAGTTATTTCAACAAGTTTTTTCCCAAAAAAAACCAAAAAAAACAACAACAAAAAACAGAAATAAAATATAAAAAAGGTTTAAGAAAATCTGACTTTATACAAATTATCGAATTTGAGACATGCTTAAGATTACAGGTTATTTACTAGGTCAACTCTAAAAGCCTGTTCGTCACAAAGTAAATTAGCTAAGTAAGGTATTACAGAACTTTTATAGATTTGCTTGCGTGCATGAATTTTAATGTATTTACGTCTCATTCTACCAGAAGATATACAAGGAAAAAGATATGAATGAAGCGGATGGTTAGTATTTGATAAGATAACACCTGCCAAGAGTTTGCAAGCCTTAAGATGTCTATCCACAAGCATATTAACAATGACTTCAAAAGATTCACCACATACCTTGCAAACTGCCTTCAGCACTCTACGCAAAATAGCAAAGTCTTTTCTCAAAAGCCCAGGAAAGAATAATGGAGAACAATATAAAATAATAGGTAATATGCAGGAATTTACAAAGTGTAAGGGTAAATGGCGAGTAATCCCAAAAGCATGCAGCCTCTTTATGTAGTATGTCAAACTGTAAACTTTTTTCGATAACAGCAAAACATAAGACCAAGAAAGATCAGAGAAAAAAATAACACCAAGATATTTGACCTTCAACACTGTGTTTATCAAGGAGTCTCCAATGGCACAAGCATTATGGGATCCCAACATAGAGTATAGGTTCTGTCCATGTCTCAAGCTAAAATTAACAGCTTGACATTTAGATGGATTGAGTAAGAGACCATTACAAACAGACCACCTTTCAATACGAGATAAAAACTCATTCATTTCTATAGGATGTAAGGAGGTAGAAATCGGCATACATACAGTGAGGTCGTCCGCATATTTTACAAAAGTGTTTTCTGTGGAAGATGGCAGATCATGCAAAAAGAAAGAGAAGAGCAAAAGTGAAAGAACAGCTCCTTGTGGCACACCTACAGTAGACAGTAGAGATGTTGAACACTTTCCTTCAAAGACAGTGTACTGTTCTCTTCCAGAAAAGTAGGAACATAGCCAATTGGTTATCCAGCTGTCAGTATCGACGCTGATCAGCTTGTTAAGTAAGAGGTGTCTTGGAATAGAATCAAAAGCAGAAGTAAAGTCCAGGAAAGCGCATCTAACATACTTCTTACCCTTTTCCAACCCGAACACTATATTGTGATGCAGAACAGCAACGGCATCTAATGTGCTTCTTTTGCATTTGTAAGCAAACTGATATGGATCACAGTGCTCTTTTATTACAGGTTGAAGTGGTTGTATCAATAATTTTTCCATTATTTTGAGGAAAGGTGAGGTTATTGCAATGGGTCTAAGTTTCACATTTTTATCACCAGAAGCCTTCCTAGGTATAGGGATTACCTTTATCTTTCTCCACATTTTCGGTAAGACATTAGTTGAGAAGGATCTGTTGAAGATATTCATTAATGGATAACATAAAACATCGGCACATTTTTTAAAAAAGAGGTTTGGGATATCATCAGGTCCTAAACATTGGGATGAATTAAGTGACTGGAGACATTTCCGGACATCATTTTCAGTGAAACTGGGGACACAATTATTCTTCAAACCCTTGGATATAGGGAGCATGATGTCAGATGACTGGTGAATAAAGGACTTATTTAAGTCACAAACATTTAGCTGGTTATCGCTTCTAGTCTGCCTGTCCCCTGTAATTTCTTTAAAGAGTTTCCACATACTTGGAGAGCTTCTGCAAGATAGAAGTTTTTGAGTGAACACACAGTTGAGACGTCTAATCTCTTGGTTTATTTGACCATTTAACTTACGAACTTCAATAGTGTTTTTCTCCTTGTACATCCTTTCTTTTACCCTCCGTAGTCGTTTTAGTTGTGGAGATGTAAGTCGATCAAAACTTAAAAAGAAGGTTTCGGTAGGACAGCAAATATCAAAACAGAATTTAAGATAAGAGGTGATAACATCCGTTGTGTTTTCTATTGAGTCATCTGTAAATAATTCCCAGTTGGTCGTACGAAACATGTTTTTTAGATTTTGTAAATTTTCTTCTGAGTAATTCCTATATATTACTTTTTTGGTATGGTGTATGTGTGTACTCTTTCCATGTTTACCATATACTTTAGGTAAGACACGAATCATACAGTGATCCGAACTAGACAATGGAGCACGTTTGCGAGTCACATAGGCACCCACATCATTAATGAAAACCAAGTCTAGATGAGAATTCAAACGAGTAGGAAAATCTACTACATTTAGGTGACCTAGTGATGTAAGGAAGCTACAGCTACATGAATTGAAATCACCACATACAATTGGAAGTGAATCACTGAAGGCAGTAACGGCGAATTCAGTAAATTTATCAGTGAAGACAGATAGCGCAGATGATGTGCAGTCT